GAAGCACTTAATCTGTGTGAGAAACGTTATGCTCTCATATGACCCTCTTACAAAATCATTTTTAACAATTATATTTATGCTATAAAATAATATCTGTATATTTGATAAGATAAAAAAAAATAGAAAGCATTTATATTTTTGTGCATGTTCATGTGGAGGATGTGTGACTGATATCTGATTTTTTTTTTTTCTTTGACATTTGATACTGTTTATTCCCATATAGTATCATACATGGAAAAAAAACACCTTTATTTTAGGCCCAAATTGAGCAAAAATATGCAATTTGGTGCAGTTGCTGATATTTCTATGGCCAAAAAGTAAGATGTTCATGTTAAAATATTACTAACAATATAAAACTTATGTTTACTTTATAAAAGATCATTAAAGATTTTACAGCAAAAAGACACATGTACCACAACCTGCACTTTTTTGAATGATACTAAAATGCCTTTTACTTGCTAAAAAATTATAAACTATCAATCAGATGACAGAAGGCATACGTGTTTTCATATTCAGATCATTTAGAGGCCTTAGAAATGTACAGTATCTCACAGAAGTGAGTACACCCCTCACATTTTTGTAAATATTTTATTATATCTTTTCATGTGACAACACTGAAGAAATGACACTTTGCTACAATGTAAAGTAGTGAGTGTACAGCTTGTATAACAGTGTAAATTTGCTGTCCCCTCAAAATAACTCAACACACAGCCATTAATGTCTAAACCGCTGGCCACAAACTCACTACTTTACATTGTAGCAAAGTGTCATTTCTTCAGTGTTGTCACATGAAAAGATATAATAAAATATTTACAAAAATGTGAGGGGTGTACTCACTTCTGTGAGATACTGTATGTATCCACTGTGATACAGAAGGCTTTACCGGGTAAGATGTGACTTCTTACTACTATATGAGTCATATTATTTAGTAGAAGTAATCATGTATTTTCTAATTGCTAGTGTAGTTCTTTTGTTTAGTGTTGTGAAGTTCCACTCCAAACTTCTGTCAGATGACCCTCAGTGTGAGTTCGTCTCTGTGTGTCTCATGCATCAGGCACATTGTGTTCAGAACCCTGCGCTGATGCGTGGATGAAACTCTCAACATTCAATACGAAAGAGAATTTAAAAAAAGTACTTGGCCACTAAAGTAAATTCTGTCATTTTCTAGAAAAATCTTGAAACTTCCTCCTCCATCCAGACAAGCCTGGTCCGCATTCTACCTTGCAGGTGTTTGTCCCTGTCCACTCGGAGTTATTCGTCTGGATGATTCGCTGCATTATGAATGATAAGAATGGAGCAGTGTCTCCAGAATAAACTCTGATAATAGAGGAAACTCTTGAGTAACATGAGTAACTTCCAAATGCAAGGTCATCAGCAATGACGTCAAACTTTCACTTATCAGACATTTATTACCCTGAGAATCGTGAAAATAGTCACAGTTTCAACATTGCTAATAATAAAATGTTTCTTGAGCAGTAAATCAGAATATTGGAATGATCTCTGAAGGATCATGTGACACTGAAGACTGGAGTAATGATGCTGAAAATTCAGTTTTTATCACAGGAACAAATTAAATTTTTTATAATATATTCAAATAGAAAAGTTATTTTAAACTGCAATAATATTTCACAATATCTATCTATCTATCTATCTATCTATCTAAAACTGTTAGAAATTTGTTTTCCTTATTTTCATTTTCTAATTTTTCATTATTCAACATTATTTACTTCTGCATGTGAGTGGTCAAATAATTCAAAATAATTAATCCAACTTGCAGCATTTTTTGCAGCTCAGTTTCAATAAATGCTTTAGAAAGCAGCAGCTTTTCGCTCTAAAACCCACATTATGTTGCTTCAATTTTAATTTCAAAAGATCAATGTCAATGTGATTTTTCATTATTTAATACTCAGCATCTGTGTCAAATGGTATGAAAACAAAAAAGCACAGGGCAGTCGTACGAAATAATATAATATTTTATTTCCAGCAATTTACAAGTACCTCTGTTAGGTCCCCTTAACAGTGTCAGACTGACGCAGCTGCAGGGCAGAAACTGATGGGGAAGAAATCAAAGAACTCCGATAACCAGTTACCATTACTAGCTGTTTTAGTCTTGCTTGAGAGGCTGGGATCTGATCCTCATGGCCAGTTTAACTCAGGGAAGGTCACGTTTGCTTGTAGGAAGTTATATACAGATTACAGATTAGAGGGAATATGTGACCGATTAGACAACCCACAAGTAAACATTAATTTATTCTAAAACTCATGGGGATCTCGGTGGCTTTGCTTTGGATGACTTTGCCACCGATACATCTGCCCTGGAAGAACACAACGGATGAGATGATTTGTGTACACAAATCAATAAAATACAATATGAAAATCAACTCCATTAATTAAAAAAAAAGTCATTACAAAAACAGATCAGAAGACCTATAAACCTACGTGTCGAGCCTTGCTTGTGATTTGTTAAGGCATATTATGCTCAATTCAACGAACCAGATCGAGTGTGAGGTTTTGCTGAATATTAGGCACCAAACCTTGATATATTTGTTAAGAAAAAAAAATGATAAACTGATAAACGTACAGTAAACATCTCTACTGGTCCAATGCAAAGAAAAAATGCAACAAAATGAAATATAAACATTTATAGAATAAATATATTATTTACAAATAGCTTTGTCACATCTATAGAAATAAATAAACAAAGCCTCCCGTCCCCTGAAGAAATATTCACAACTATAGAGAGCTGTCATGGTACAATGGCAGCACCGGTCAGCTGCACAGTAATATTCGTGATGTTTGAATGCATAATTGTGGTATAAACATATCTGCGTGTGCGTAAAACACATTGGAGCTGCATGCTCTCCTTGCACAAGTGCGACCTCTTGTGGCAAAGTCTGACATTACAGTACATCTTGTGCACAGTGATCTATTGTGACATGAAATGTGCTTGCAACATATGACACTAGAACTCGCCTTAACACACTTGCACAGTTAAAAAAAAATTAATAAATAACCCAGACATTTAAGGACAGAAAACAAAGTGTACAGTAAAAATAAAGGGGTATGTTTAATATATTGTGAATTTTTAATTTTATGTGCCCGGCACAATCCACTACTCTGCTGATGATGTGAGATGTGCGCAAATGGAGCGATGTTTCTAAACAGCCTTTTAGCAATGGCAGGCTAACATTAACATGCTGTCGATAACTGGAGGTCAGTTGCTTTACAAGGCCTGGCTAGTCATTAAAATATACATTAGTTTACTGGCAGCTACTGATTAGAGATTTTTTTATGGCTGAGAACTGAGGTACAGATTAGCTGCTAGCATCCTGTTAGCCCTTCAAGTGTTTCTGAGAGGCATTAATCTCATAAAAAACGTTCAAAATGAAACAATTTCTCTCCTCTTCCAGTATGAAAGAAGCTACATTTTAAATCAAGCATGGCTTCAAATCATTCAGAGAGCCGGTTCAACAGCACATTTTTAGCTAGCATGCAGTGGTAGAGGTGTAGATGTCAAAATAGCCCTTTTTTATTTGTTGCATCATTCTACAGATATTCTTCGGTCCTTTTGTAAAAAAGGCTTTTGAGGCAGAGTTTCATGTTTCTTGTCAATGAGCAGGTGCTTTTGTTTAATCTAATTGAAATCACCAATTGACCATTCGCTAAGCTTTGCATTAAAAACATTACTGAACCAACAAACTTGGACAATTTGGTGTAGGATTTACTTTGAAACAATTTTCACTCAGAAACTGCTAGTAAAGTTCACAAATAATTACAAAGAAATGGCAAGTAACACATTTTGAAGTCGAAAGACTGAAATAGTATTTTCTTGTAAAATGTGCTCCAGTAATCTTTGCTTTATTTTACAACTTCATTTTACAGTGAAAAATCATTTTACAGTGTAGTTTTAGACTGCCTTTTCCAGATATTATGCAAAAATATATCTATAAGTTAACTGAGCTATGAAAAGGGCATTTTCTCTTTTTAATTGTCTGTGATAAGCATTTTTGCCTCGAGTTTGCAGGCTCTGCATTTTTTTTAAATCACACTACTGGGTCATTTCACAATTTGTTTAAAGGAAAACGGCAGATAAAATGCTTGGCAATGCATACTTCCTTTCAACGCGTACGAGAATAATTTCCCATTCATTTTGGACACTTTGTGAGCACATTTAACTAAAAATCATAGAAACTCCAGTTCCGTCCTATGAGGTGCTCTGTAAAACTAGTCAGTGTTAGCAACAGTAACCAAGGGAGGCGGAGCTTAGCAAAGGGTCAACTGTATATATACTGTAATGTACGTAACAGAAATGTACCTACGCAAATGAGGCAAAGTCTGATATTTTATCCTTTAGGTGTCGAGCGTAAACAACCCATGAACCCTTTTCATCGCATTGCACAACTTGAGTATTTCAATGAAACAGTAAAGCACTTTGGGTTACTATCCCTCTCTGTAACCATAAGCACAGCTACTAAAGCAAATTTAGATCCCGAAAACAGCATTGTGTGTTAAATTGGGCGATCTCTATGTATTTTACAGTACTCTACTGTATATGCACGTTTTATCATCAAAAGGTCCCCTTTGAGATTCAATCTCTACTATTAAGACCCAAGTGACTCTTTTAATCTTTAGCCTGAAATGTTATTTAGGTCACTCTGTGATGGTCCAAATATGGTTTTTGTTTTAGTTGGCAAAGGCTGTGAGTGCCGCCCTCAAAACATACCATTTTATATCACTATTTTGTAGCTCTTGCTGATGTAGCATTCTATGTTCGTTTGCCTCTCGTGAAATATTTCAAGTTTAGGTTGATGTCATCTTTACATGCAGCCAATGCGACTGGCCGTAAAATCGGGCCGAACATCCCCATTGAAAAATAATGAGGATAGTTGTTCTCCCAGTAGCTAAACAACAATGAAATTACATATCAATACTAAAGCAATAATGTCATCAATATAATCATGGTAGCCAATGCAGCCATAACAATATAGATATTATTTCTCTATGTGGCATTATAAATAAAGACATTTGTGGTGCTTGGACAGAGTCAAAGGAAGCAGCGTGGATCAATCACCCACATCTGTGTCCCGATCTCCAATTAGCCACAGGACGTGGAAACACAGAGCCAGGAAGCCCGTCCCCAGCAGGTCTCCCAGGGCAGTCAAGTAGGGAATGGAGAAGTTGTCAGGATCCATCCCTCGATGCCACATCCAGTTAACCATCCAGTCTGCAAGGTACAGCAGGATCACAACCTAGACGGAAAGAGAATGTGTCAACATGATGGAAATGATGGATGGAAATCAACAGGATGAAAAAATATAAAGTTATGATATTTTGCTCATATGTGTGCACATATGTGAGTATTATATATATATATATATATATATATATATATACACACACACATATTTGCACACATCTTTTAATTAATAGACATTTGTTTTGTGTCTGATATACACTATTCAGTAATTATTTATGTTTTTGCATTTATTTGACCACAAATACAATAAAAAGAGTAATATTGTGAAGTGTCATTACATTTTAAAGTAACTCTTTTCTATAATAAAATATTTTTTATTTTATATTTTTCATTTATTTTCAGAATTTATTCCTGTGATTTTCAGCATCATTACTCGAGTCTTTAGTGTCACATGATCTTCATAAATAATTTTTTTGAATGAAGAAACATTTCTTTTCAGTGTTGAAAACAGTTGTGCTGCTTAATTTTTTGGTGGAAACTGATATTTTTCCCAGAATTCTTTGAAGAATAGAAAAAGTTCAAAAGAACAGAATTTATTTACAATAGATATCTTTTGTAACATAAGTGACTTTTTTGTGTCCTTGCTGAATAAAAGTATATCATTTTAAAATCTTACTGACCCCAAACGTTTGAATGATAATGTATTTGTAAAGTGAATAAACATTTTGCATTATAGCAATGAGAATTTAATGTTCCAATGCAAAAAAAAAAACTTTTTAAAGATCTTAAAATAGGCTCATGTTTTTCATGCAAAGCATAATTTCCTAATTATTTCCTTTTGATTTTGTGAAACATGACCCAGATATTTTTTTCCATAGCATTCACTCAAACATCCCACGTGTAGGCTAGAAACACTATAAAACATTTATTTTAAACCTAACATTTCCTTGTAATGAGAAACCGATGCTCAGGTATACCTGAAGCAGAGCTGCGGCCAGATAAAATGCAACGAAGACGGAGGTGAGAGTGGTGTGTCCACCCTGCATAGAGTTAATAGTGTACAGGAAGACCAGATGACCAGGAGCGACCAGGAGGAAGAGCACTCTGGCAGAACGTGAGTTGACACCTGAGGAGAGAGTAAATGTAGGGTCATTGTAAGTACTGTTACAGAAGCATAACTGAAGTCATTAAGACACAATACAGGCAAATATATGCTACTATCAATATTTAGTGATTACGTCTTTGCTAAAAATTGGGCTGTTGGTTGTTCATATCACTCACCTGAGCCAAAGAACGTGCTCCAGGGAGTGGGGCATTTCCTCGGGGCTGGGTTCGGCTCTGCTATGGGCAAGGCGTTCATGTGCAGGTAGGTGGAGATCCGACTGGCTTGAACCGCCACCAAATTGCCGCCCACACCTGCAGCAGGGCAAAACAAACAATGTATGCAATGATCTCTGGTGTGTCATAGTAAGGGCTAGTAAACACAACCGACGGAAACATGAGATACGAGGTGATAAGAAGTCTCACCGTTGATGACGGGAGTGAAAACCGCCATTCCAGCAAAGTTAGGGTTAGATACTGTCTTATCCAGAATAAGGCCTCCAACACTGTTTCAAAAGAAGTTCAATTTAATTTTAACGACACAAAGATACTGCATCTGTGCTGTCAGATAAATGATTGACATATCGCTGTCAGCCGCAAGTGAGAAATCCATCCGTCATAAAGAGGAATGAGGAAATGGAGCATCTTTATCGTAATCAGTGTTCTTCCTACCTGCTGATCGCCATGGCGATAATGACTGGCTCCCACCCTGAGTAGAGCACTTCCCGGGTGGAAGGTGTCCGCCGGGCGATAAGTACCCAGATGGGCGTCAGGGCAACAAAGAAGGCACAAACCATCGGGTTGGCATAGTCATTATATTCTGTAAAGAATAATGACATTTATTGACAGATTTAATACATCTTCACATTTCCATATGTTTATAAATTATACATATACACAGATT